TATGCATATGCATACTTTCGTTTTAAAAGCGAAATAATGCATATGAAAAAAAACGAAATAATGCATACATGCACAGTTTCGGTTTAAAACCGAAATAATGCATATGGTAAAAACCGAAATAAAGCATACATGCACAGTAGATGCCTTATTTTCTCCATACATTTTGCTAAAGTATTTCAGATCCTCCCTCCGGCAGCAGAATATAAAAATAGGACGCTAAAGACTTAACAAAATGGAAAAAAAATTTCATTATTGCAAAAACTGAATGAGCTACTCCGAAAACCGCGATTTATAAGACTGTTTTGCTATAACTTTAGATCCTTATATGAAAACACATTTATCTTACACAAGAAAAAAAAAATATATATCCAATATTATGAAGAAGAAGCCGCTAAAGCGAATGGCGTACTCAGTTTTTTAATACAACTAACCAAAAAGTTACTCACACGGCCTAAAGTGACAATTTGTTACTATTTTTTACGAATTTTCAAATTTATTCGTTAGGATTTTACAGATAGTAGTAATTTTTCCAAAACTAAAATACTTAAAATTGTAGCTAATTTAATGTAGTCATAAAAAAAGTTGACAGATTTCAAATAAAATTATATTTGAACTAATAAATTAGATTTACGTAAAGCCATGTCTGACATACGTACTTTAAATTTTATTGAAATTTTTAACAATGTCGTTTTTGGATGCTAGGTAGGGAAACACTTTCTGATGCGCCTCTACGAGTTGAAAAACCATCTGTTTCTCGGTTTCGGAAGTGGTTACTTTTTCATTTAACTTTGTTGCCATACTTATTGCCCTTTCGGCCGTATCGTTCACAACAATAATTTTTTTTACTATTGCTTCAGCGCGTAAATAATTTTGGTTGTTTATCCAGCGACTGGGGTCAATTTCCAAAAAATTTTTGTAATTTGATGCGTCCACAAATAATGACTCAAAAAATGTCTTTGTATTTTCTGTAATAAAAGCATCCATACTTAACTCCACAACATTCATCGGGTCTACAACAATGTCGAAGAGTAGGGGAAATGTTGATTTAAATTTTGATTCTCTAAGTTCTCTTCGTTTACCATTGTTGTCAAATTTGTTTTTTTTAATGTTAAGGTATTCAGTGTAGAACTTGGCAACGTCATGCTTCACTGCTGTCTTTAACTTAGTGACGACGCCTAAACACGACCAAATGTTTACCAATTCACCGACGACGCGAAAAATACTTTCATTCACTGTTAAATTGTCTTCTAAACGAAGGTTAATTAGCCGACGCAGAACGTGCTCCCGAGTAGGCAACGTTGATTTCGAGAAATTGCGCAGTGTTTTCTCTGTAGTTAAAATTAAGTGCACTTTTCTTTATATGTATTCAATTAATGAAACTTACCAATTAGGAAGTAACTACTAGTCTTTGTCGTTTTCTCCATTATCGCTTGCATCAATATTGTCTATTTTTTTGATTATGTAAGATAATAATGTTATTATCAGTCGTAAATATAGATTACAGTATTCTACAGTACGACAGTTTTATCCACTCCTGCTTTGGCTTTTAAATTTTTGACGATGTTTGTCAAGTTTGAAAGTGGTTTTCAAGATGGCTTCACTTAAGCCTAATTTACCAGTTCAAATATAATTCGATCGAAAATCCGTTCACTTTTTTAAAAACTACATTAAATTAGCTACAATTTTAAATATTTTAGTTTTGGAAAAATTACTACTATCTGGAAAATCCTAACGAATAAATTCGAAAATTCGTGAAAAATAGTAGCAAATTGTCACTTTCGGCCGTGTGGGTAACTTTTTGGTTAGTTGTATTAAAAAACTGAGTACGCCATTCGCTTTAGCGGCTTCTTCTTCATGAGATTGGATATTTTTTTTTTTTCTTTCTTGTGTAAGATAAATGTCTTTTCATATTAGGATCTAAAGTTATAGCAAAACAGTCTTATAAATCGCGGTTTTCGGAGTAGCTCATTCAGTTTTTGCAATAATGAAATTTTTTTTCCATTTTGTTAGGTCTTTAGCACCCTATTTTCATATTCTGCTGCCGGAGAGAGGATCTGAAATACTTTAGCAAAATAAGTCATCTAATGCACAGTTTCGGTTGAAACCGAAATTATGTCTAAATGCACAGTTTCCATATGCGCAATTTCGGTGCCCCGGCTCAAACCGTGCCATTTGTCCCTATTTTACTTCAAATGGCACTTAATTTTTCAATTTGGCACAAAGTGCCAAAATGGCACTTTTGTAAAAAAATTACATTTCAATACATTTTTGTGAAATCCTTTGCGTGCACTTCTTTTTCTTAACTAAAATTTTCTAATTTATAAAGGCTATTCAACTGGTTTATCTTATTTTATCATTGCACTTTTGTTTGGAAAATGTAGCTTTATTTTATTGCTAAATGTGAATGATTAAAACGAATGACACCTTTTTTGGCACTTTTATTTTTTATTTGGCACATTTTAACACTTTTTTATCCTCAATATGGTACCTGATAACTAAGGATAGTTGCCAGCCCTGATTGGAAGATTTCTGCTGTGTTTTGGGGCAACAACTTGTCTGCAGTAAAAAAGCATATAATTTGTGTTTCAAAAGTGTGTGAAAACCAATCAATTTACTTATATAATCTCGGTTCCGATATTAAATAATCAATAATTGTTTATACCCGCATTTTGGCACATTGGCTCGTTGAATGTGCCATCTAATAAATAGTGTCGTCGTTCTCCTTAGCTGCTTGTAAATGAAGTCGTCACAAATTGCTGGCGGAGACATGAATACAGTGTAAGAAAATTCTTTTTCTATAATTGTTTTCTTATAGAAAGGTTGGTTTCTTTTCCACCTTAGACATTCCGAATTCGTTCAAAATATGCTAATTTAAAACACAGAATTCTTTCAGTGTTTCTCCGGGACATGGACTGTTTCTTCAATTTAATAGTGTTCGCTTTATTTTTGTGGAAACGAAACGTGTTTTGCAAGTTATGGATCATTTCTACACTCTTTCTTCAAATATTTCTCGTATTCCAGCTGTGCGCAGGCGTTTAGTTTTTCGCATCGTGTTTTTACATATTCGTAATTTAAATTTTTTTAATAAAATCAACTGGTGTTAGTTCATGATTGTGTGTGGATTAATATCACAACACTGATGATTTGGCAATCACCTTTTTCATCTATTAAAAAACAACACTTACGGGGCAATGTTTATTGTAAGAACAACATTTTTTTCTATGAATCGAGATACTTTAAGTATTGTTGACGCTATTTCTATTTGAATGAGGAAATAGCGTCAATGACTTTATTTCCAAATTTTTGTTGACTTCATTTCGCTTTTGAAAAGGTAATAATGTCAATTGACTTCATTTCGCATCATTTGACCTTATTACCTGTCACCGAAGAGCTGAGAGCCATCCAGGGAGCGATCTTAAAGGCGGTCAGGAGCAGTCACGATAGTGCTGTAAAGCCTATCTTTGATGGGTGCTCGTTCCGCCCGGGATGCGGAGTTAAGGAGATCCAAACGAGCTAGTTGGCGAAATTAACAGCCTCCCAGAGGCAGTACGCCTCCAAAAAGCTCTAACAAGGGATCACAAGAACACAATCGGCACTCTGAAAAGACCTGCAGACTCTTGCTAGGTACTAATTTCATGGGCTCTGCATTATGCTACTGTCGACCAGAAGTGGGTGCCCCAACACCCACTTTCGGAATGAAAATAAGCCTTGCTACAAAGCTCACCACTGTAGAACGTGTGCGGGCTCTATCAACATTTAGTCCATACCAATCGCCAAGACCAGATGGGGTCTATCCATGTCTCCTTCAACATGGAATAAACTAGATAGCCCCACACCTCTCCAAACCTTATAGAGCTTCGCTCTTGCTGAGTATTATTCCCAGCAGATGGTCTGAGGTTAAGGTCGTATTTTTACCAAAACCATATAAGCCGCCGGCCGCTGTGGCGTAGTGGTAAACAGTGCGAGCTTCCACTCTGCAGCACCTGGGTTCAAGCCCTGGTCAAAGCAACATCGCAAAAAAAATATAAAAAAATGTTTTTTCTTAACCTTTAACTGTGGTGGTAGTGGTAAAATTTACCCCCCGCAACTTTATCTTTCAAGGAAGGTTGACCTGTATTTTTTTAAATTAAATTTTTTTAATACGATCTCTTTTAGTTCATTAAACATATATATTTGGCTGTGAAAAAATGTCCCTTAAACTTTAGATTAATTTTTATTTTATACTTTTTTTTATAAATTTACTATGTGATGTTTTCGTTCTTGTGAATAATAAAATCCTTGTGAAATAAAGTGGGAATTTTGTTGATTTTAAAAGAAAAAATAAAAACTTGTATTTATTTTAACTTAAAAATATAGTAGCTTAGTTGAAAAGAAAAAAAAATTATAAAATGACCAACTTGTATTCAAATTTCTAACTAAAATTCGAAGGTGTAAAATTTACCACCAGGTCACAGACTACGTCAAAAAATTCACCTCCATAGTTAAAGGTTAACAGCGGTCGTTCCTCGGCAGGCAATGGCAAACCTCCGAGTGTATTTCTGACATGAAAGCTCTCATAAAAATACAATCGCCGTTCGGAGTCGGCGTAAAACTGTAGGTCCCTCCGATTTGTGTGACAACATCAAGGCGCACGACACAAGTCGGAGCAGAAGCTCGGCCAAACACTAACATATGTGTGAGCGCCAATCTATTATTATTATTATTACGTAAGCTGGAACAACAATTATCGTCCTACCGACCAACTAGCCTGAGGCATGGAGAAAATACTGGATCAGTATATCACAGAAGTCAACCTAAGGGAACAGTCTCTGAACAAGAACCCATTTTCCTATCAACAAGGCAAATCCACTGAGACAGCCATTCATAGCCTCACCTCAAAAATTGAGAAAGGTCTAGAGTCTAAAAATATAGCCCTTTGTGGCCTTTCATTGACATTTCGGGGGCTTTTGATAACACATTATATAAGGCAATAGATGATGCCTTGATGAGCAAGGGTATAAGCCCAATAATAAATAAATGTGTTCTATCAATGCTAAGAACACGTAAAATCAGTTTGGAATTAGGAGGCACGACAGAATCGATAGCTGCCACAAAGGGTTGCCAAAGGTTGTCTGTCCCCTGTATAATTGAAAAGACACAAGTGCTGAAATCTCTGCCGCAAGCGGTTTTCGCCTCGCCCCAGTGATATACCAACATCCCTTTATTTTTGTCTGCAGGTGGTCTTTAAGGATTCCCCAAGTATGAAGACACAAAGTTATGGTAAGTGAAGCAGTGCGTCAAGAGCACTATACACCACTCAAAAAAAAATATTGTTAAATAATGAGGCTATCAAGCAACCATTTGGGTTCTTTACTATCGAAGCCAGATAGTGGACCCCCACTTACAATTGGTGGACCCCCATATTTTTTTCACGCCAACGTAGACCCTCAGCGAGTCTCCCGTGGACCCCTGGGAGTCCACCTGTACAACTTTGGGAATCACTGGTTTAAACACTCGTTATTTTGCTCGCAATTTAACGAAATAAAATAATTTAAAAATATTTTTAAAACAAACTCTTATGTAGCATGTGCATTAAAAGTTGAATTACTAAAATAAATATACATATGTACTTAGGTACACATCCCCAATGAAAATTAATACCGTTATCATTTAGCTTTTATTAACCTTGACAAATGCTTTCATTTCATTTCATTTATTATCAAAATGGTGATATTAGTACATAAGAATTACCTTCTTTTTCAGTACAACAAATATAAGTATAAAATACAATAGAGCTTACATTGCATATGAGACAACAGATAGAACACTGGATATGAGACAATAGACAGAACTTACACTGCATATGAGACAACAGAACAAAATCAAGAATCAAACGTTAACAATTTAAACAAAATGTAATTACAACTGAACTTTGACCTATTAAATTTTGGAAATATACCGAGCACCGCGATACTTTTCGGCAAACATTTTTTAGAGTTATTTCTTTTCATGTAGTTAATATACCAAATATCTTCACTCCTACACCACCAATCGACAAAATATTTTGTGGAGTGATTTCTTTTCATGGAAGTAATATATTTTCTAAATATAAGCTAAAATAGACCATAGATGCAGTTTTCAAAATATTTCGACCCCCGTACCACCTATCGGCCAAATTTTTTGTGTAGTTATCTCTTGTAATGTAGGTAATGTACACTCCTAATATGAACGAAATCGGACCATAAATGTGTGAAGTTAAATAAAAGATAATAAAAAGTTATTAAACACTGTAATCCAAATGAAAAATATTTGTTAAAGTTGAATGAAGGACTGACGTACATGATACAACTTTATTTATATTAACAAATCTACGTTTAGTACAACGAAATTTATATTCAGTGGAGCCCTCCACGAAGTTATAAATTTATTAATTACACATGATTTATATCTCTTGTAGGATTGGCACCCTTAACCCAACCACTCTGTGATGCATTATACATAATTCATGTATTTCAAATTTTCTTCCAGAGATTTCTAAAAGTTTCAGCAATAAAAAGGAATATGATGTTTGCCTCTCCCTTCACACATTCCCTTACAAACGAATCGTGTCAGGTTTTATTGAGCTTCTGACCTGGCAACCCTGGGTATAAGTAGAACGACGCGCATTTAATACGGCAAGAAGGCCACTTTTTGTTGCTGGAATTCGTTAATAAACCCTTATTTATTTTGTGACTAGTACCCGTCCTGGTACCACTAACGACTCGCCAGAAGTGAGTACTACACCTTTTCCAAGAGTACTTCATAAAGCGACAAATGTACTTCAGAATAATCAGTTGTACTTCAGAAATAGTTAAATGTACTTCAGAATAATCAATTGCGCTTCAGAATAGTCAATTGTACTTCCGAAACCGGAAAATGTACTTCAGAAGACGAAAATTATTACCTATTGTAATTATTTAAATAGTATATATGTAATTATCAATTTTAAGTAAATTAACTTTTTTAATATCCTTTCCAAATCACCTACAAGTACATAAAAGAAGTTC